TCTAACCATCTCATCCTCTGCCATCCTCTTCTCCTTTTGCCTTCAATCTTTCCCAGCATCCAAAACACAAGATCAACTCACAATTCTCCTTTCCCAACAAGCTTGCTACTCTTTTTGTCACCCAAGCCCAACTGCAACTATGGGTGCATAATACAGTAAGTCAACTTACTGGCAGGGTTTTCGTGACAAGTGACTGCAGACCACAATAAAGATTACAGTTAACATCAAAAGTCATAACTCCAATGAGAAACCAGAGTTTGTATTTGGCTCACTTGGTCTAGTTCAGTGTGCCTTCTGAAAGTAAACTAACTGCAGCCACTATCATTGGTGGGGGCAAAGAATGATTTGTGCACTGTATCATGATGCAAAAACACTGTGACGTGCATACTTCCATCTGACATTGGGACACCTATGAAAGGGCAGGGTTTACATTGTGACATCATCACTTTTTTTTTTCATCATCACAAGTAGAAGCAGACTAATTAGTTCTCTTGGACAACAATATGAATTGCAGAAGCAGGAAGGAAGCACACCGTTTTTGTCTGCCTCCAAAATATTGGCCAGTTTGTTGGAAAACAGGGATTGGCTCCATCTTTGGGTGACCAGAAAAGTACTTCAGGATATGTCCAACTACCATTCTCAGTCACTGGAGATGGAGCTGACTGGAAAAGGATACACTACAACAATATTCCCAGAGTAGATTACTGTAACAACTTATAGCATTCCTTGTGTTTCACTGCAGCGCAAAATCTGCAAACCCATCTATTTTACAATCTTCTATAAAGGGAGATGATTTGCTCCAGAGCTAACCTATAAAACCATACTTCTGTTGTTAAGGCTGCTGACATAGCTGTCCCTCTTACAAAGGATGCCATGATGCAGGATTGGGAATGATATCTTGCCTCTTGAACTCATCCATTAATTGTGCAAGGAGAAACACTTCTTCCTTCATTTCCTTTTTGTAAGAGACAAATATCTCTTCATCTCTCTAATATACTTTTGAAACATATTCAAAAGTTCACATTTAGATTAAGCCAAGTGCATTCTCTGGAGTGGGCTGGGCCCAGACTGATATTAGAAAGGTCAATCTTTTGTGCTCAGTGGAACTTGGAAACAGATCTTGAGCATGAATTAGGAAACTGGTCTTAGAACCACCTTGTCCTGGTGGAACATAAAGAGATCCCTCAATCCTCCAAGCTATGGTTGCCTTCTGTAAAAATGTGTAATGGGTTCAAGGGGAACAGTCACTAAGATCCTAAGTACCAAAGACAAGGAAAATAGTGAATCACAAGTGCACTAATAAATCGGTGTACATGAGGAAGACCTGTAAGTGGTGCCCCTTAATTATGTACAAGAATAGACCCTAAAATAACTGCCTGTTAAAGCAATAGCCAAATAGTTCAGGGACCCCTGCTGCCAATGCCATTGTTTATGTCTTTTGTACCATCATTCAAGGAGTTCCAAGTCAAATGATTCATCTTAGTGGTGTCCATTTGCCCTGGGGCCAAGATGGTCTCTACTGCCAAACCCAAACACCCAAGGACCTCGGTACAGCACTGGAGCCTGATGCAAGATGTAGAGAGTTTCAGAAGATGCCATGATTGCTCCTGTCTCATCTCTACTAGAGCAGAGTACCACAGCCTACTGAGTGAAAATGAGATGACAAGAATCATCCATGCTTTAAGCACCTTACCTTGTGCATCACTTTGGATAGCACTGTGAAGCATGGAAATGCATACAGATGTCCTTGCAACCACAGCACCACCAAGCAAAATCCTCTCTATTCTGATGTTGAAATCTGAAGAAGTGTTTCACCTCTCTGCTGTCCCACTCTCAGAGACAGGTAAATAGAGGGGCATCCTCATCTTATTAAGAACTTATGAAAAATCTCCAGATGTAAGACTCATTCACCCTGTACAAAGTGCTAGCAATTTAAGCAGTCTCCCATGGTGATCAGCAATACACTTTGTATATTTCAAGGGTAGAGACAGAAGGTGTTTTCTCTGCTTATGACAAGATGTATGGACTTTTTCTGAAGGCCCTAAAGATTTAAATGGGCTTTTGTTGTAAGCTCTGTTCACACTTGTCTCTGCTGTCCACTCACCCTATCTAATAGAGTTCTCAAGGCCAGCTGCACTCCCCTCAGTTCTCACTGGGTATTGACTTGTAATGGGATGATGTTTCTTTTCCTAACCTGTTTAGAAACGGCCTTCCCACCAAGTCAGGCTAGAATCTGTGGTCACCTAATTAGTCCTCCAAGTTACATTCCATGTGCCAAATCGGTTGGGATAAGACAACAGTGCAGGGATTAGAATACTTGTTTCATACCATGAGGCATTTTCAAGTGTATTTTGCTAGTGACCTGATTTTGAAACAGGAGAGATAGCCGCTGTAGTGGAGTGCAGTGGAAGCAGGCCCATGGGACTCAGTCCAGTTCTACAATCATCATGCCAGCTTCATAAGGGTCAGTGTTCTGAACGCCAAGATCTTTTTCATGGTTTGACAATGCACTCTTGGGACAAGAACAGCATAACCCATTGGGGGAGATGGGCAGCATACAAATTTAATAAATAAATAAATAAACAAACAAACAAACAAAAAAATAACTCAATGGTGACTTAGGCACAGAAGCTACTTGCATAATGCCAATATGATCTTGGCAAGGTTCACCCCAAGGCCATGTTCCACGAAACATTGAACTCTGAGCTTCTTCACTGCTTTTCTACAGAGGACACTTTGATAAGCAGATCATCTAAATAGGATAAAACATGCCCTCCCCCCTCTGTGTTTTTAAAAGGTTCACAAGACTCATCCTCACCTTAAGTGCTGATGCTAGGGAAAAAGGGAGTGCTCTGAATTGAAACTGATCATTCCTGAATGTAAACCTGAAGAATCTCCATGGAGTTTCTGATAAGAATAAGGTAGCCTCTGATAAATCCACCAAACCCAGAAGGTTATCCACTTTAATTTTTTCATTCTAAAGACTCAACATCTATTGAATTTACTCCATTCTGATATTCAGAATGATTCTCCAATGTCCTGTTTCCTTTGACGCTGACCACATTTCTATCAAGTTTTAATGCTGCCCTTTTATCGTATTCTTCATAATTTTCTGGTGGAATGCAGACCTGACATCAAAGGCGGCAAAGAATAGTGATCTAATTCAGGCTTCCAGCTATTGAATTTCATTTCCCCAATATTTAACAAGGTCAGTTGTATAATATGAAACTGCAATGCAGTACCTCCAAACTTCAGGAATATATTATAATGATTATTTAAGAATAGCAAAAAAAAAATTATCCTTTTTACCTTAGATTCTGTTTCCAGAAATAATTTAGCCACTGGACCAAACAATACCAAATCTAATTTTCGAGGTTCAACATCATCTGGTAGAAGAAAATACTCCATATGATAGAAACGATGCATTTTTGGAATATGTCCTTCTCTTAATTTAGATCCTGCTACTTGCACTTCTTGTTTAGTGATCTGCCAAGGCTTATTTGCTGAAAATAAATAAATAAATTACAAAACAATGGTAGGAAGAGTGAAAGAAATCCAACTATGAATGAAAGAATATAACAACTCCATATGTATACATGCACATGTCTAAGAGATTATGCTACCATATAAAGAACCGATAAGAGAGGTAATAACATCATAAGATCACCCTTCAATGATCCAGAACTCCAGGTTTATCATTCTGAGGTGATGCAGGTAAACTCCTAAATATGTTTATTTATCCACAAAATAAATTGGAACAAACATGCCAAATATCTACCATTTTCACAATACATGGTTCTCCCTACCACTATTTTATTCTTACACAATCATGTAAGGTATGGTAGAATAGGTAAAGTGGTGTCCAAAGGCATGACACATTGAAATTTCTGAGATCTTCAATGCTTTTCAAATGGGAACTCCTAGTTTCAGGATATTTAAAAATAATGTCTTAGTCTAAACTGCAAAATATGATATTTACGCACTGAACTTTTATCACTTTCCTCTTTATGCCTACATGTCTCTTCATCTTTCTGTATTCACTCAATTCCACTCTCCCACCTGACTTCCTCAAAACTCAACAGCATCTGATACCTAAGGAGTGTGCTCAGTCCACAATGTGCTATTTTGCACTTTCTCTCCAACCGTGTTATGGAGTTTTCCTTGAAGATGTTTTAATTGCTATTGGTCTTATTGTTTTGTTTCACCAGGGATCCCCAAGACTGATTATATGAATTAACCCGTATAGCTTATATTCCAAGGCCACAAACACTATAAAGAAAATAGTACAGTAATATTTAGTCACTAAGTTATCTCATAGCTTTGATTAAATATTTGTAAATTTATCCATACATCCTAGATAAGGTTACCGAAAGATGCTCAAATAAACATTCAGCCTCCATTCACCCTTCCAAACAGCAACCTGTACCAACATTAGACGCTGAACAGGCGCCACCACATTCATCTCAATTTTCCCCAGGAAATAGTTACAGGATATCTAAGATGTGCTGCATTAGATATAGCTATAGGTATAGCTGGACACTTATTTCCTCATCCAAACAAATGTCTATTTGTCTACAAAAAACCAATCCAGCATGTGGTATTTATCCATATCTACAGTACCACCCTAACCTATATCAATGTTTTACGTGAGGTTAAATTGTGCTGAACTTATAGAGCTGAGCCATTCTTAAAAATTCAAAACAATCTATCCATAGCCAAGATGACATTATAATTTAGGTGTCAAACAGAACTGCTACAATTTCCACATCTTTATATCCCAAAGATCAGCAATGGACAGGATTTATAATGTTAATTTGATATGATATAGAGATTTTTATTTAAATATGATGAGAAACACATACAATTCTTTATATGTTCAGTCTCCTCTGCAGTATTCTGTAAGCCCATATGACATGTTCAAAAGAAGAAAAAGAAAAAGAACTTACAATGCCATTTACCTACTTGGAAGAATAAGTGGGATAGCCAATGAAACTGAGAATGTGCAGGTAACCAGATGCTGAAAATCAAATTCTTGGCTTCTCTCTGAGTGACTGCATGTTATATTTTCATCTTCAGGAGTGGGATGACCACCACCACCACCACCACATATGTCTGGGGAATCAGTTCCATAGGTGCTGTCTGAACACTGTGTGTTGAAATCTTCCTCGGCTGCCTCTTCCTCCTCATCCTCATTTTGTCCCTCAAGATCCAGCAGATTACTTGCCATCCTGGGACAGAAACCCAAACTACTAATAATTCTAATTTCTTCTAATCTGTACATTTATTTTTAAAATTAACTACTTGAAAAAGGCAGTAAGCAACCCCTATGCCCTATTAAAACTTATCATAAAGAGAAGATGGAAGAATTTTATTTGTATGTCCCTTTCCAACAAACATACAGCCCATAGTAAATTCACATAACCAGAACATGAACAGATGTTTCATTCTGGGCCTGGATCATCCTTGAACAAGATGAATTTGTTCCTAGCATATATAAGTAATACAAATGTAATTTAAAAATGGCAAAGTGGCTTCTCTGGCTGCAAAGCCCCCATTATTGGTTTTTATTGTAGGCTGTTACATCAAACAAATCTGGCAAAATTCTTCTTTTTAAAAAATTTTCTTTATAAGTTCCTTGTCTGGCTTTTAGCCAAGTTTACCAGGAGACACTCAGCAACTGGGAAACAGTCATACTTACAGACACTCTAAGATCAGGCCTGGCCCTCAGAATGCCACAGAAGATAGGAAGCAGAGTGGACTCATTCAAGATTAAGTCTGCAAAGCTGCAGGTTCTCCACAGCGGGTATAAAGGAACATCGTGAGCTACAATATGCAGATCCAGGGCTAGTCTTGAGATACAGCCTGAAAACCACTTTGAGATAGAGGCTAAGTCTGAAAACAATATGTAATACATAAATTTAGACTTGGTTGGCAACCCTGAGTAACTGTAAGCTATCATTTTTTAATGTCACATGAAGGTATGCCAATCTTGAAATATACTTTATATAACAAGTTTCCCATCGATACAAAGCAAGGTGGCCAAAAGGGGTAAAGACAAGAGAAAACAACCACAAAGGGACTTATAGTGAACTGACACCTATAATCAAGCACTCCAAGCCAACGATGGCAGTGCACATAAGCAAGCAAACTTCCATTCAAGCATTCCTGATATATCAGAAACCAGACAGACAGAAAGCTGCCATGTTGTTACATCCAGTATTCAAGGCTATGAGTGGACAGAAGATTAAAAATAACAGCTTTAACCACACAAATCTTATCCAGGGATTAGGAGTTGAAACCTTTCATTTGAAATAATTTCTTAGGCAATAAGAACAAGCAGATGCACATATGCAACTTTGCTACAAACACATTCTTAGATTTCTACTGTGAGTTCAAGGAAGAAAAGCATATTTTAATACGATAAAAAGCCAAGCTGTCATTATCCAAACTACGCTCCAATGGATTAAATTAGAAAGCTGTGGGAATGCAAATAATGGATAAAATGCAGAGAAAGATAAATGAGATTAACTTTGAAAACAATGAACCATTAGCAAATTGTCTCATGAATTTAAATGAGCAGCAACACATATGTTTTCTTTCCCTGGACTGATATATATCTATATGCAAACTTACCCATCATTCTCTATATTCCCCATAAAGACAAATAATGCTATCTGGTTGCATAGAGAAATGAGTACAATACTGCAAAAATCGGTAAAGCATTGCTAAGGAGAACAGATAATTGCTGAACTGTTGCTTTATTATGTTTGTAAGTATGATTATAAACTGCAGTTTAGTATTACACATGTTTAGCCCATAGAAAAGTTCTTCCTCTTACTTAAAAAAAAACAAATCAGAAACTGTTGTTATTTATAAACAGTCATTTTGGAATCAGTAGCCACTTTACCAACATAAAACTGTAACTCACTATGAACAATAGAGAACAATTTTGCCAGGGTACCTAAAATTATTTATCCTGTTGTTTAAGGCTTGTATTTATAAAGACTAGACTGCGTAAAAGACCAATCTTTTTTTGCTTAGATGAAAGGCCTCTAAGATTGCAAAAGGACATAACATCAGACATAAAACTAATTCTTGATGAAACAGAAGCTTGCCCAGGGTAGTCTTGATAAGTATAAGCATGCATAAACAAGGTAAATTGGATTTAATTAGCCTTTAGAATATTACAGTAATTTAAAAGCATGTATTTCTAATCAGTTGGATTAGAATGTCCAATCAGACTTCAGCTTCTCAACCTACACGCTTTGCTAGTTTTTCAAGATAGCTATACATTGTGCAGCCTACAAGAACTTCCCAAGGTTGGTTATTTTCAACAAAGTCTATTCAAAGACTACTGCTGCAGGATCTGATTCTGACAGTCCAGAAATAAAAATGATAGAGTTTATCCTGGATCAAGTTTAATTATCTACTGAAAACATCAGACCAAAGGACATTTCTACCACATTAATTAAGCAGATTTGTTTCTATCATCTTCAGCATACACAGATGGTGTAGCATCCCAGGAAGATTTCCAGCAATAAGATGTCTTCCGTAAGTGAATGGCAGAAATTAGTATTATTTCTTCCCCGTTGATTTTAATGTGTATGCTTTAACTGTTTAACACTGTTGTTTTATTAAGTTTTCAAATATGATTTTAAGCTGCTTCAAACTTTTATCTGAAATGTTTTTCATAAAATAAACAGTAAGACTAAAGAGGGATTCTCATTCTCTTGCTTGGTACTGCAGCTAATAACTGCGATATTAAGAAGATCTGTATCACATTTACAGCCACTAGTTTATGCAATCTGACTGCTTCCAGCAGCAAAGCAGTTAAAAGCCACCAGAAAGAAAATAATTGATTAGAATTATTTTATTTATTTATTTATTTATTTATTTATTTATTTATTAAATTTGTATGCCGCCCATCTCCCCCAACGGGTGACTCTGGGCACCTCACAATTAAAACCAAAGACATTTACAGCCACTAGTTTATGCAATCTGACTGACATTTACAGCCACTAGTTTATGCAATCTGACTGACATTTACAGCCACTAGTTTATGCAATCTGACTGAAGAACCATTAAAAAATGATACCATATAAATAGTTAAAATTAATTAATCAATTAAAATCAGACTATTACCAACAAGCAAGGCTTTTTTTCAATTTGTATAAAAACAAAACAAAAGGTTTGGCTGGAATTGTGGAATTTAAATATAATCTGGAAGTTGTGTAGCATTTGCAACGTAAAGCATATGCCAACATGAATAAGGTTACCCCTGGAGACCACTTTATTAATTTGAAAGTATAAGTAAGTATATAAAGCTATTTGGCAAGGGCATATAGGGAGTCACACACACATCCTAGACTCAGACAGAAATATTTTTAAAAATGAGTATGTAACAACTAGCTAAGATCCATTTAAATGGAGAAGCCTACACCCACTCAGACTGCAGGCTGCAATTTCTATGCAGGCTCAGGAGGCAGTTTCAGGGCTAGGTACAGCACACCAGATTCCTCCCAGGGGAACACCTCATACCAATGAATAGTTGCTCTCTGCTAAGGAAAGGCACCACCGACCCCCTTGGAGAGCGACATATCCTAAAGAAAACAAGCAAGTTCAGCATGTGAACAGGAACATCCCCTCACCCCTCGGCAGTGTCCCAGGCCTAGGACCTCTGAAAGCTGCGTTGAGGCAACCAAGTCCCAGCAGCTGAGGCACATCAAGCATAAGGCTACCCCTCCAGATAGGCAGAGTAAAAGGCAGATGCTCTCGAGTCTAGCTAGACTTCTAGGAATCACATGCATCGTTTTCTTGGCAAAGGCACTTCCTGCTCCTGTTCCATCACACCAGAGTTGATCCTGCTTAGCTTCCGAATTCAGACAAGGTCGCTCAAGCGCTGCTACCAGTTGAGTCGGGCAGGGAGAGAGAGGCAATCAGCTTAATGAATGGAGTCCCCAGATGTCATCCTGCAGTAAACAGGGTCACACGGACTGGACCGCCCTATTGATCAACGCCACAAGTTGATCAATACCACGCCAGCAACCTCCCCTTCTAAAAACTCCAGGGCCACTCGCGGGATTTACCTGGATCGGCGGAGCAAGCACGTCGCCACACAACAAAGCTCCACAGGAAACTCACTCAGCCGGCGCAGCACCTGGCAACAAAGACAAACGTTTGCGGGATCCGATCTTCATTCGCCTCGCCAAAGAATCCCGCTCGGCCCCTTTCGGCCCTGGAAGTTGCCCTCGCAACCAGTGCGTTGGGCTTGGCGCTGCGAGGCGTCACGGGAACAGCGGTTGTTAAGGCCGCTGTCCCCCCCGTCCTGCTAGTGACTTTTCAAACAACCCGGTAGCGACAAGAGGAGAGGGGAGAACTCACGACGTCTATTCTTCCCACCCCGCGAGAAGTCCTGTTGCGATAACCAGCCAGGGATCCAGAGAAAAGGAAGCAAAGTTGGCAACGAGGCCGGCTTCGCAGCTGAGAATACAACTGTCCGCGCCTGTACGTGCTCCTAGTACCACCTACGGTGTACGTGGCCTCGCTTCGTGAAAGGACTTGCTAGGCAGCCCCACGCGCAACGGACGCGTTCCAAACGCCGCTAGAAAAAACTGGAACCCGGATGGAACCTTCCCAACGTATTTAGCTTTATGACGTATAATCGAATTCGTGTTCTGGGACCTTGTCTGCCCTTATTGCAGGCTTCTCAAGCCTTTGGCGGCGTATGGCCCGTTTTGGAGATTTGAACGCGTTGTGGGGTGCCATCCATTGGAGCAAGAGTTCACAAAATAGCTGTTGTAATGGACGAGGCTGATCACAAAACACCCGTTTTGCAAATAACCAACCTCAGAAGCTGAAGATCAAGTCTTGTAACCTGCCCTGTAAAGCAGACCTAAGTCCTGAGAGGGAAATGCTCTCTAGAATCCAGTTTTCTATTACACCAAAGCAGACATTTAATTAAAACTAGGCTTTGTGTGTGTGTGTGTGTGTGTGTGTGTGCGCGTGCCAATCACTTCATCCCACTCTTTCACCCAGCCCACAAATCATCTTCAGCCAACTTCTCCATATCTAGGTTTCTCCCCAACTAGGAGAAACACAGAAAGTAGCTTCAAAGTCATAGGTAGCCTTGGGGCCTCATCATGTTCCAGGGCACTAAACCACATTTCCTTAACTGGCTTGTTGAATGAGCCACACAGTTCACACAACATGCCGACATGCCGAGCCATAAACCATGATTTACAAGGCTGGGTTCACTCTGTATGCAAAAGCAACATGGGACAAAAATTATTTATTACACTTTTTTAGTGACCCAATAAAAATAAATTAAAATCCAAACAGTAAAACAATAAAATACAATTAATCTAGGTATATAATATATTAAATGTACCGTCCTAGTGGAGAGGAGGCATTTAAAATCAAACTGAGACTGAAGATAATCAAGATGAGGACCAGGCACACATCTCTGAGAGGCAACCTCAAAAGGGGAGACATAATTGAGAAAACCTTCCCTTTATAATCCAGTGCATTGCAGTAACCAGAGATTGCTAGAATATTTGTAAGGGATAGTAGGCTTTTAAGAAATTGTACATATATACCTGGAATTGCACTGCTGGGCAGACATATTTATTACTGTTATTGTTGGTCGCAGTCAGCCAGATGTTTAGACTGGATTTGGGTTTTTTTATCCACCTATCGAGTCCTTCCCAAAGACCTGGGTTAGGCAAATGTTGTTTGATGGCGTTAAAATTAATATTGTTGGTTGCACAGTCACCCAGATGTTTAGACTGGAGTTGGCATTTTTATCCATCAAAGGTAACTCTCTTTTCAGCACAATTCAGCAATCCAACAGAAAGATTACCAGAGAATCTTTAATCATGCATCCATCCATACCCATCACATGATCCCTTTCTGGGTAACCATAGTTGATATTTTTGTTTAAACTGCTAAAAGGACTGTTAAGCACTGACTCTTCCTATGCCTTTAGTGACAGTTATGGATCCAGGAGTGCTGAATGCAACCCCCCTAGGACAGATTGATCATAACTCACTGTTGTCTGGACTGAACTTCCATTTATTGATCCTCTTCCAGTTCATTATGCAGGCATCACTTCAGGGCATCTACTGTCTCCATGAATTAGATGAAAGTAGAATTAAATCTGGGTGTCATCTTCATACTGATGACAATTCAACCCACTTCCTTGGATGATATATGACATAGCCTGGGGATAACATTGAGTCCTGAGGAACTCCATGACACTACTCTGTGGAACATTGTTATAAGCCCTCAACACCAAATTCCAGAAACAGCCAGTCAGGTAGGAGCAGAACCATAGAAAGGAACCATAGAAAGGATACCATGATTGATGGTATCAAAAGCCACTGCATGAGCCAAAAGAAACTACAGAATTGCATTCCCCATCCGCTCTCAGCGAAGATCATGTGACCAGGCAATAGTTTCTGTCCTGAAGCTAGACCATATCTGGATTGAAATCAATATGGAAAGTCAGCTTCACCCAAAAGTGTTTGAAATTGGTCAACAACCTCTTGGCTGAGTACCTTATCCAAGGACGGAGTATTAGTAACCACAGAATAGCAGATGTGAGTGTAGCCATGGAATCTGGATTCAATTCCATCTAGCTTATTGTGGTCTATACCAACTGGCAGCAGCTCTCTGGAGTTTCAGGAAGAAAATACTTACTACAGATAGTAGGGATTGAATCTTGGACATTTTTCAAATCATCTTTCCCTAAGGACTCTTGTCTACCAGGAAGACTAAGGATCTGCTGTCTACAGAAAGTGCATTTGAATCAAAAGTGCTTTGCCTGCATACTTGAAAATAAAACAGCTACTACATAGACAGTAATCTCCAGCGTTTTCATCTAAAGAGACAAAGCACTGGAGGATCACCCCCAAATATATCATATAAACATTGGAGGTAGTGCATAACAATATATTAATTGGGGGGGGGGGTGCCTTCCAGTGAGTGTTGACTCCTGGCAACTGCCTGGATCCCTGTTTTCTTGGCAAGATTTTGGAAGTGGTTTGCCATTGCCTCCTTTCTAGGGCTGAGAGAGAGAGAAAGTGGCCCAAAGTCACCCAGATGCTTTGTTCCTAAGATGGGACTAGAACTCACAGTCTCCAGGTTTCTAGTCTGGTGCCTTAACCACTACACCAAACTGGCTCTCATGTATTAATATATAGCTAGTTATTTTATTTATATGGATAACTTCCGAAGTATTTCTTAATCTTTCTATTTAGTTTGCTTTCAATTCTTCAGAAAAATCAAGCATGTTACCATAATTAATTTTTTTCAACTCATTATGTGGAACATTTTGATCACTTTCTACTAGTGCAATCCCAGCTAAAATATATCATCTGTTGGAGTTAGTGAAAACAGTCAACACCCATCACACACACCTCTTGATTCTTTCAAGTATTTCCCATCCAGCTACAAAATATGTCCAATCCTTCTTAAGAGGATTATGAGACTGGAGAAGAACCACAGCTGGTAGTAGATGAATTCTAAATCAATTTTCTTGTACCTATAAATGGAAAAGTGATATGCAGTGAGGTAGTTTGCATTATACAATAGATGAACTACTGATTTACTTTGAATTATTTAAAAAACGCAGCAATGTTTTGATTTGGCACAAATTCTATTTTATTTCCATTTCATCTGTGTACACATTTTATTAAAAATATATATGAGATATCCAAAGATTGTGGTAACATAGTTGAGCATATATTGAGTGCTTATGCATTATATCTGTTCCATTGGCCATTTTTATATATGTCTACAATATTTCCTTACAAATCAAAGTTTAGAGACTGTTTTCAAGTTGTTTGTTGCTAAAGTTAAGTAGCAAATTAGGGGGCATCAGGGATTAACCCAGAGTCTCAGGAATTCTGGATTCAGGGTATGAACTGCCTATATATCTTATGATTTTGTAAAGAATAAATATGTGAACTTCTCAGTGTGTCAACTTTCTTGATTTGCATTATCATTTAATTAGGAAAGGAATTTGTTCATACTTTGAACTGATGTACAGAAATCTTTTCATTAGCCTTTTTCCAAAGCATCTTTCATTGGATTAAAGTAAAATGAGAAGGAGGTATATTAAAAAATAAGACCTAGTCCTTCTTTTGTGTCTCCTTCATTATCCAAACATTGCCAATCACAAATATCTTAGTGATTGATCAATGAGGTTGTTCCACACTTGAAAGACATGAGTAGAGCTGAGCAGGTATACAATAGAGACAGTATGGTGGTTCTCAGAGATGGAATGACATTACTACCAGTAATGATGTGTGGCTCTGGTGTAGTTCTGCTTGGATAAACAAGGGATGCTGGTTCTTGAAGCTGACAGACCTCTCTGTGAGCTCAGTAAAATCTATGTCTCCACTGTCAATAACAGACAGATGATATTAAGCTGCACAGAGTCTTACCAAACTGGCAAGCAGATAAATTTCATAAGTAGACAGAGGTTCAAGGTCCCTTGATTTGCTCCTTGTGAGTAGTGAATAGTGATGCCAGATGCTGTTCATTACCAGGAAGTGAGTCAGCAGCAGAACGCAAAGATCTATGTTCATTAAGAAAATGCCTTTTCCTTCACTTGAAACTTGGAGTGGATGAGAACTTGATTCAGGTTTTTAATCATAAGAACTTAGTGAAATCTACAGGTCACTTCCTAAAGGAACCTGAAAAAAGCAAATACGAGAAAAAGCAAAAGTAACTGATTCATCAAACAAGGCAGATGGCCATGAAGTCAGAATTCTTAAACATTAGGGCTTGAATCCTTCTATATTCAATCATGTTGGTGGTGCTGAACAAGGCCTGTCACCTGCTTTTCTTAAGCTCCTTATCTTAATAACTACATAATATAGGCAGACACAATATTATTGCCATCATACTGGCTTATTGAATGTAGCCAATGCAAATAATGAGAATTGCATTATTTTTTTTTTAATGAGAGTATTAAAATTAGATATGTGCAATCCTTATCATTCCAGGAATAGAGCATCTTTAATGAACAGCCCCAGGAATAGTGAGAGGGTTCTGAGTTACTTCCCCTGCCCCTTAAGTCAATAAGAAGGCTTGAAGGCAGTGGGGATGTGATGGATGGTGGGGAATGATGTTGGGGATGTGATGTGTGGTTGTGACTGGATGGGCAGTTGGTGTGAGTGGCTTACCAGATTGCTGACCTCTCAACCACAGAGTGTTTGTAAAAAGTGGTTGAGTTGTGCAATTGCCACCCACCTTGGGAGAATGTATAGTCTGGAAGATGGGAGTGAGGCATATAGGTACAGTATCAGGTCAAGGCAGACATAGTGGGTTGACCGTTCCAGGGTGATATTCAACCTGTCAGCAATCTCCTCTTCTGATTTGGCAACCCACCTGGTGGCCTCGCTGGATTGTCAGTGAATTTAGCCTTAAAGTGTTGCTGATGAACACCAGCTTTGTCTCCAATAAGAC